GTTGATATTCTTTGTATACAGTTATCATATAATCTGTATCAGAGATACATGCAGAAAACAGATCTTTATTACTAGAACAAATGATTGCAGCAATTCTCTGTTTTCATATTATAAAGATAAGTTATTCTCATTTCTTTCTTCTCTCTTTTCTCTTCTTCAATCAATCATTAATTTTAAGCTGATATGAAAACTATTAAAACACTCTCAGAAACTCTCAAATTGAAGAGTATAGACTAATTAAATTTCAAATATAGAAGAAATCAAATTATCTTCTACAGATTTAATTATTCATTCTCTCTTAAATAAAACAGCAGTTGCATCCCCTCTCTCCTCTCAATCAAACAAAACATGGCCTGTGAAAAGTGAGTATCACACCAGGCCATAATAATCAACACAGCCCCAGTATGCAGAGCTGTATATACACAGTGTATGCTGAACTGAGAGACTGCATGAGTTGTGAACCAGCAGCAGTATCTCAGAAAGAGCTGTACAGCATGAAAAAGTCACAACTCTCAGTTACATGCACAGAGAGTGAATCACTGTAGTAAGTATATATACATTAAAGTAACACTTTTTAATAACACTCAGTCTCTGATATGATGAAAATAGAGTCTCTCTGTGAGATCTGTTTCTATCAGAAGTCAGAGAATCTTATATTTCTCAAGATCATCTTCACACACCTGATCTGTGAAATTGATGAAGAAAATCATTGATTTCAGTATTCTGTTCTTGATACTATTCAAGTGATAGCAGAGTTCACCCTGATCACACTTTTTAAGTGTATATTTTCTAATTATTCACATTTATATAGATATATACTGATTATTTATTAGATAATTTTAAGACAATAGCTCATCATGACTGTGTTACTCTCACTGTGAGAAATACATAATTGATAATAAATATTGTAAAGACTCTAAGAAGTGAGTATTTTGAGAATACTATGACTCTGTAATCTTGATTTTTATTTGTTTTTATTTTTTATTTTTTTCTTTTTCTTTTCTTTTTATTTTTTTTTTCTTTCTCTTTTTTTTTTTTTTTTTTATTGTGATTTTTTCTTGTTGTTTTGTTTTTTGTTTTTTTATTATTTTTTATATTTTATATTTTTTTTTTAATTAAAATGATATTAATTATGATCTGTGTTCAGAAAAGTAATGATATTTAATAACACTCTCTGTTGAATTTTCAACAAATAAGCACTATGTTATAATATTATGTAAGTGAGAAATGATTTTATAGTCTTATTTAATGTCATTTTCAATAATAAGATCAGAATGAAAATGTGACTAAGAATTCAAACATATTCTTTATCTGAGACTAGATTTCTATTTGAAAAGTGAATCTGAGATCTTTAATATTTGAAATAACGGGATTTGAAATCAATGTAATGAACATAAATCATGATCAGAAGTAATGCTTTTAGGCAACATAATAACTGTAAAGTTTGATTCTAATGTCAGACACAGTCACACAGTCAGTCTAATTATAATAATGAAGATGATAGAAAAATGAGAAAAGTTAGTGAATGAGAAGTGTAATATAGTGAATGAGAAGTGTAATATAGTGAATGAGAAGTGTAATATAGTGAATGAGAAGTGTAATATAGTGAATGAGAAGTGTAATATAGTGAAAGTTTCTTTGTAAGAGTGTAGACAGAATACTAGCTGAATCAGAGATAGATTACATAATTGAAACTACTAGTGATATGCTAATTTATATAAAGCTAGAGCATATATTATAATTATATAAGTGTGACTGAATCTGATGAGAGAGAATGTGATTTAAAAGAATATATAATTATCAGATAATAACACAGCAGCTTCTGAACTTGCTTATAAATGTAAAGAGGTCATAGCCATCACTAATTAATTTAGTGTACTGTATTTAAGAAGCCGGCGTACGCCTGTAATCGTACGCTAACTCAAGCAATCTTTGAATTACAACAGATCAGATATTCTCTGTTCAGCTTACAGAGTCTCTTAACTTATTCTTTGGATAAATCTTAAGAATAAATCAGTAGTATCTCTTATAATTATTCTCTAGATAATACAGTAAGTTCTTGACTTTAGTATAGTAAAGATCTGTTATTACATAGATAAGAGCTTCTTCATCTTTCATATTATATAGTTAGACTTGTAAGTCAATGTTAAATACAAACTTATAAAAGCTTTTATAGATTATAATTTAATATATAATCTTAAGTAATTATATCTTAAGAAAGTTTTCTTTCAGTTTATAAGTATCTCTGAAGATCATATCTAGAGACTTGATTTGAGAGTGTTTATAGACAGTAAGTATTTCTTGTAGAAAAATAGCTTAATTTTATAAGAGATACTTAAGAATGTTCTTTACTAAGATTAATTCATTTATAAGTTCAGAGAGTTTCTCTGTTACAGATATAGAGAATAATATTCTATAAGTAATTAATAAGTTCATTAAGACTTCTTTTAAAAGAATTATTCATTATTTAGATAACTACTTCTAAGTGTCTGCAGTAGAGTTTGTAGAGATTAATGTATACAAGTTTCTAGTTCTTTCAGTTATAACAGATAGTTACTAACTGACAGAGTTTAAAATGTAAGAATAAGTGCTTATAGATAATTATTCAAATATTTACAGATTGATATAATATGTACTGTTAACTATTAGAAGTATTCATAATAGAAAGATAAAATGTAAAAGTTAAATATATAATAGTATTCAAGCTGAGTTATAAATAGTATTCATGAACTTCAGTTCATATAGTTATATACAGTCAAGAGCCGCTAACTCTATTAATTACATAAGAGATAGAAATAAGAGGTAAAGATTTCGCGAGAAGCCGGATTTCTTACACAGTTATTCTTAATTATTAACTCTCAGCTGAAAAGCTCATGAAATTTCTATTCTTTCATATCAAAGCTTCACTGTGTACATTATTGTATATATGTATAAATATTTACTTTAATTATTAATTCTTGCACTTTCTGTTTCTTTTTCTTCTTTAATATTTTTTACTTTATTATATAAGATCTATAAATATTATACTGATCTCTTTAGTGTACATCTCTTATAGAAAGAATGAGAATTTATAAAGTGTAATAAAATAGTCTATATAATTTTTTAAGTGCAGTCTGCTATATCTAAGCTGTGTATTATTAAAACAGAAGCTCTTAACTTAGAAGAACTGTATATCTGTAACTCTATTACTTAAATCTTACTTTTAAAAGAAGTAAGTTAATGTAATAAGTTATATCTAATTATATAAACTATTTTATTACACTTTATAGATTTCTGCTGAAAGCTCTGATTCTCAGTTACTAATTAATTCTCAGTTATTAATTCTTAGCTGAGAAACTCATAGCGTTTCTATTATCTCACTCTAAAGCTTTATTTTATATATATATAAATATTGACTCTGATTATTGATTTCTACACTTTCTCTTTTTTTCTTCTCTAATATTTTTCACTTTTATTTAAACTGACTGTTAAAATAATGAATTTTATATTTAATCTCATTTAATCTAATTTTATACATATCTTAACATGAATTCTACTGCGATTAATTATTAAAAAAATATATAAAGTAACTATTTATCAGATTTTAAAATAAGATTAGAACTTAGAAAAAATAAGAAAGTACTTTTATTTACTTTTATTTAGTTTCACTCTTAGTATAAAGTTACTATTTTTAAACATTTTAAGGTTTTTTTTTAGACTATTTTTAATTTTTTTAAAATTAATACTTTTTGATAACACTTAAATGAGATTTAAAGTCATTTAAAGCAATAAAAATAATTTAAATTGAGAAGTGAAAATTATAGTCTTATTTAAAAGATATGATAAGAGTAGATAGTAAGTCTCACTGAGACAGTATAAGACTACTATTTAATCTTAAAACTAGGTAATGAGATTAATTAAGTTAATAATGAAATTATTAAATATTCTAGTTCTAGTCTCAGACACAGTCACACAGTCAGTCTAAGAATGATACTAATAAAAAAGATGTTTTTTAGAAATAATAATTATATACATACAAGTCAGTGATATTATCAGTATAATAATGATTTTTTCTGTTCATAACTTGTTTATAATGATTTCAGAGCTTTTCCATCATTATATTAACATTTATAATTCAGTGATAATGTCGCTGACTGGCATAGTGAAACAATCATAACCCGGTCGTATAATAAGCCTACATTTTTCCGGCATGGAAGCTCGCTTGCATATGACTCATGAGTA